TCGCGAAGAGAGTCTAGCAACAACAACAGTACTCCTAACGAAGCTTCGGAAGGAGCCAGCTAACAGGCCGCTCGGTTAGCCTCTCGCGATCGATGGGTTGATCACGGCAGTGGACATAATGGCAAAGAGTGCGCAGCTATTATAACAATAAATCTTACCGCGAACACGATCGCCACCAGCATCAACACCCTGATGCCAACGGAACACACAAAAAAAAGCACAAAAGGAACAGAATGTATATCGCACTAGAATATGAAAAAATGCATTACCATTTCTCCCACGCAGCCACCAGTGCCCATTCCTGTAGACTGGCTGCCCAAACTCCAATTCCGTTGTGACCAATCAACTCACAACATCCCAAAACCTATGTTTAACATCTTTCCCCGCTCAAATTCTTTAAGGAACGAGCGAGATATGAGCTTTTTGCCCTCGTTCATTCTCCCACCCGCCATCACCGCGCAACCTCATTCTTTACTAACTCTTTCTATACTGATTTTCCACTAAAACTGACTCCAAAATTTGGTTCGCCTGGCCCTGAAACCTTGAAATCACTTCCTCCCCCGCCCAATTTCATCGGAAATCGGGCGGGCTTCATGTTTTCGACCTCAACTCACTCCCTCCATAGCCATAGCTCGTTCCCTCTCCCCATGTGCACCTGGCGCAACCCGGTGGCTAGATTCACCCTCGTCTTGCACCTTACGCAGAAACCCGTCCTGGTTCGTCCCTCCTTTCTTCGCCCACCTTTGTTCCCCGTCTCTGCCCCGTAGCTCCCCTGCCTTGCCTCTTGCTGCTAGCGCAGTATGCGATACCCCACCTGTTGCTACTAGTGCAGCCCCGGGTACCTCGCTTGTTGCTGCTATGGGGCGACCTGTAGTCACCGTGACCTGTCCTTCACAGCTTCGACAGCTCTGGCCAGTCCGCCCCCCCCTTCTGCCCTCATAACGCAGCGCCCAGCAATCTGCTCGGTCGAGAGGACGCGCAGCAACGACAACTCACCGGATGATCACACCAAGCGAAATTGTCGGGCTGCTCCCCGACTTTATACATGTCACCCTGGCGCAGGAGCCATGCTAATCTTCTCTGTATCGTTCAAATTTTTACGGATGTCTCGAAGGACTACCTGAGGGCCGCGGGCCGCGGCATCATCATTGGGCCGATCGGCCCTAAGCAATTCCGAAATATTTACTTATCGCGTCCCACCATTTGGATTTGAACACAGGTCTGTATTTCAACAGTTCAATGGTGTACCCACTGAGCTAAGCTCTTGGGTTTCACGGTCGGTCCACAGACCGGAACCGGACCATGTCCCAAAATGGGACGAATAAAAAAAAAAAAAAATAATAATAATAATAATAATAATAATTAATAAAAATAAAAATAAAACTAGAAAAACGAGCTGGGGGACGGGAACTGCTGGGACTCGGTCCTCAGTCCTGCCCATCGGGCCCGCCGTCGGGACTCCCCGCAAAACCAAGGGGGATAGTCCCGCAAGACCCTCAACCCCTCGATTTATCTCCAAACGCACTCCTTACTCCGTTGGTGCAGCATGCTGGCCTTGATCCCAGGATCTGCGTGGTGAAAGTCTAATGCTGTAACCAATAAGGCTAAGCCCAAGCCTGGTTGCAGCAGGCGCAGTTCTGCATATGAAGAGTAACTGCAGACTGTTACAGCCTACCTGGGCCTGCAAGGGTGCGGCAATGCCCTCCCTTGGTCTGCCCCTTGAGCCCAAGGCCCCGTACGGCCATGTTCTCCGCTTGGAGGACGGCTATTGCTGAGTTCACCATACGCACTGCCCCGTCATGCTGCGGTCACGGGCCGAGGCTCTCGTAGCCCGCCGTACTCATCGAAAAGAGCGTGCTTTTATCGTCTTTGGTCGGAAAGACTCTGACTTTTGCTCGCGCCGTATCCACGCGTCGTACCTAGCTAAAATTTGTTACGGTTCCTACCGCCGATACTTTTATAGTCAAACGTAGTACTTGCATGCTTCACATGGTGCGGCCTCAAAATGCCACCCTTCCGCAAGTTAGTCGAAAGTTTTCCTCTAGCCATAGCCTCGACGGTCTAACTTTGCGCCGGTGGCGACCCCGTCAGTGCGCCCGAAGTTGAGGCCTGCGCTACGCTATCCAAACCTCTAGCTTATTTCTAACTTGGACCACCGAGCGGTTCGTTTGTTCACACTAGTCAAAAATTTTAACTAACGCGTGCCCACAAAGTGCACGCCCATACACACACCCTCTAACTCATCCAAGCGCGCGCCCGCCACTTCCTGACTTCCAAGAGTCAGTCGCGATCGAGCGAATGCATGCCACTTCCTTAAATTTTATCAAGAGTGCTCCTCCTGCGAGGTACAAAAGTACGCACAATTACCATTGTAAGGGTATTGGTGTCGACAGTTTTTCCGGACCCTATTAAGCGACGTCCCCGTCGCGTCGAACAATCAAAGGCTATAAGCACTCAAAATCCCATCTGCTGACGAGGTAGTAACCATTCCGACTAGCCGACTCGACTCCGTTAGAGGCATCTTGTCAATCTACCCCGGTCACGACGTTCCACTGCCAGGGTTTTAACCTGGGTCTCCCACATCCTGGCCTAGGAGTTAGGGTGTACTGTCATCCGTACTATAGCATAATACCCGCTTCTAAGTAGTAGATTGATAGCCCTCCTCCCTTCGTCGTAGACATCTGCCGGTTTATCGTTGGGTGTCCTAATGAGTCATCGTCCCACGTACGGGGTCATAACTCAGGATGCGGGCCCTAACCGAGACCTCTCTAAAAAACCGGGGCACCTTTAGTCCCCAAAATGATAATTTTTAGCATTTCAAATATCTCTCATAATAACTGCACACCCTGGTGTCTACACAGGAGGTTTCAGGTCTCCATCTTGGTCCACCACAGAACGGTCGATCACACCGTATCCACGGCTCATCGCGCTGTTATATAGCGATGATGCCCTCGTTGGTTGCGCAATGATAGGCGTACTTACCGGCTCTCAGACTCATTCAACCCCACTGACTTCCCCCTAGCTATACCTCTCCGGGCGGCCGACCCTTTAAGATTTAACCATTGGTGAGTCGTGGTCCCGCTGCCAGGTTGCGCCGGTCAGCGGCCCTTGCTGGGAGTTAGGTTCTACAGTTCCAACGATGCTAAGTATCGCCCCTTTAGCTCGGCCTCACAAAATATGTCCCCCTAGACTAACCATTGTGGTCTGGCAAATAGCTCTGGACAACCTCTAGATTCACTTACCCTCCCAACCTCGGACTATGTGGGGGGATAGTGTCTCTTTCTCTCTGTGTTCCAGCAACTTTCTCTCTTATCCACAAGGTCGTGCCCCCCTTTACTTTGATCAAAACAGGCGGCGGTCACACGTCTTAGGGACACCTCACAAAAGTCTCTCATCATAATTGCCAGAAAATTTCCATCCATAATTCTCACAAAGATTTTGGTCTTCCCTCGTCAGACTTCCACTTATACATACAATTTCCTCATCATTATAGCAACTCATTTGAGTGCTCCCTAGTAGTTTCACTCTTATATATATGTGGAGAACTCAACGGTCATTGAGTCTCCTTCTCTCGTTTTATTTTGAACCACACAAAAAGACACAACTTTTAGTTGTGACCTCTCCATTTATCATCACTCAAATCCTTTTAAACTCAACACATAATTCCTTCTTCCAAACAGACGTGAGGTGCACTCTCTTTCACTGTACTTATGACTTTGTCTGTTCTAATGCAGATATGCCTAAGTACAGAGGAAGATAGTGCAGATCAGGTCATTTCCACAATATTTATTTCTCGTCACAATAATCATTCATATGGGCAAGTCCACAACTGAGAGTGAGCGTGACACACCACACAAAAAAGAAAGAAGTCTGAGATTCGCACAAATACACARAACGCRGGGACCTTGCAAATAAGCAAAGGTTCTAGTCCATATCGAAAGGATCAAAATATCGTACAAAAGAAATCAAATATCATACAAAGTACCGGGGTATCGTACCAAGTGTCACAGTATCCAACCGAAGATCAAGGTACCTAAAAAAAGTCAAAATATCCAAGAAAGTCAAAAAACAAAAGAGAGTCAGAGTATCCACACCTCACATCACTCACACACTGTCTGACTCACCCTGCTCTGAAAGAGAAAGAATCATAAACTCACACAAAAGCACTACCTAGAAACACTCSACACCACACTAAAAAAGAGAAAGGAAAACCGAAGTAGTCAGTGTCACACTCAATACTTTCCTATGTACGCTAAGTCTGAAAGTCTATATGCGAAAGTAAACATCTCTGTAATGACTCAATTAACTGATGTACATGGGCGTGATCCAATCCTCCATGTGTTCTCCTATATACAGTCATCCATCAGTAGYGAGTCAGAGATGTTCTACACATGTCAGAATCTAGACTTTTCCGGACCCTATTCGTAAATCCTACTCCTGATCACTCATGTCCTCCTGCAGTTGCCTATACAACTGCGCTCGTATCCCATCACGAGTCTTCAGGATCAGGTTCCCATCTCTGTCCCTGCGTACGCCAGATGGGTCCCATGAAAACAAACCATCAGCCTCATCCTTGAGGCTTTTGGGACAGGTCTCCTGTGGGTGCTTGCCTCTCTTGCAGTAGAACTATCTTCCAAACTTTTTCTGCTCCATCTTGTCAGCTGCATGGGAGGGTACAGATGAGGGGGCTGCTGTGGCCTCGCTGGTGACCTCTTGCTGCGCGTGCTCTGGAGGAATGGGGCATGTTGCTCTATCATCTGTCTGTGCCATCTGCTCACTCACTCGCTCCTCTGCCGCGGATCCAGTGGACCAAGATCCCAGTGCATCCTCCAGACCTGCAACCAGAGGCATATCCTGAGGTGGTGGGATCTTCTCAGAGACCTCCAGCTCCTCCCTCTCGTCAACCTCAGCCATGGCCTGCCGCACACTCTCCTGAACTTCCTGTCTCCCCACAGTCTCCTGCTGAGTCATGGGAAGTGCAGCCTCATCCATCGAATCCTCTGCTGGTGGCCTCGCCTCATGTGCCAAGACTGTGGGCATCCTCTACTCAAACTCCCCAGTCTCTGACTCCTTCCCTGCTAGAGCCTCCTCAGGCTGCAACATCTCCTTATCTACCAGGGGGATTTCCTCATCCTTCTGTTCGTTTGCCCTCTCTTCCACCTTCTGACACTTGAAGGCCTCCTCTGCAGGATGCTTCCTGATCTCAAACCTCTGGACCTCTGTCCAGTCTACCACTGCAGTAGGTGTCTGCTGTGCACACTTGGCCTCAAGGTCCATGATTCTCTTTTCCCACTTCACCTCTTTTACTTGAAAGTTGTTCTGCTGTACCTGCAAGTAGGTCCTCAGATTGTCATTGACCTTGTTAAGGGTCTGGTTGACCTGTCTGATGGCCTCATTGCCTGCCCAGGCCTTCTCCACCTCAGTCTTCATGGCTCCCATCTCCTTGTTCTGCCTCTCCAACTCCTTCTTGAGATTTCCTATTTCTTTCTGCCAATATATTCTCTGCTCATGAGATGCTCGCGCCACCCTTGTCAACCTCTTTTTCATCTTTTCATCAGAAGTCTTGGCCGCCGCAAAACCCTCTTTCATAAGGCCCTTCAGGCTAAGCAAGTATGTAGAGACCAGCCTAACCCCCATCTCCTGATGCTGCTCTCTTGGCCTCCCTGTTGCCTCCAATAACTTATCAAAGTTGTCCCAAGCCTCCATGAACAGAGGAGTCTCATCGTCTTGAGTAGGTGAGCCATTCCCCTTTCTATCTTCTAGTATCACAGACTGCTCTCCCTGCTCCACCTTCTCGTGCAGCTTCACATTGTTCTTGAGTCTGATTTGGACTCTGATCTCTCTCTCTATTGCTGCTCTCTCTTCCTTGTCCTGTTCCTTCTCTCTTGCAGCCTGATCCTCATCCTTTCCCTGACCGTGTGCCCTATGAGACGTCTTTGGCTGCATGCCTGGCCTAGGAGTGGTCTCAGGTACCTGAGCAAGGTGAGGAGGTATATCTGATCCACCTGAGGGCCCTCCCCTCTGGGTCCTCTCTGCAGTCTGCTCCTCTTTCTGTTGAGTCTTGCCAATATGCTGGTCCTCCTCTCTCTCCTGCCTCCGGGACCTGTGCTCTCTCCTCTGGCCATCCCTCTGAGCTCCTGAGGTCATGCCCTGCTCAGAGGCTCTCCTCTCTGCAGTTTCTGGCTCCTTCCTCTTTCTCTACACACTCCTCCTCTCCTCTGCCTGACGAGCTGGAGTATAGTAGTTCCAAAGCAATTTCTTGCAATGGCCCCAGTTTGTGGCAGACTCCACAATAGATCTGACGAAGGACCTGAGGTGTTCCCTTACAAACAGAATAAAACCCCTCACCCTCTGGCTTGGTGGCTCGTTGATGCTATCTGCAAACTCGTCGTAGCCCTTTAGGAATTCCCACAGGTTAGTGGCATCGAAATGGATGGGTTGTCCATCCCTTCCTAATGGCGATGGGTGCAAGCCCTCCATCTTCCTCTCAAAATCCTGCCAGGTCAATGACTCCCTTACGAAGTTGGCAAGGGGCTGTGCCCACTCGCCTGCTCCTTGCACCCCCCGCAACAGCCTGCTACTATCCCATCCAAACTCATGACCGTGCCTTCTGAACCCAACCATGAACAGCTCAACGTTGTCTCCTGTATAAATGGGTGGCCTGTCCTCTCTCCTGGCCCTCATCTGCGTCCCCTGTCTGGTAACCCCCAGAGGGGTTTCCACTGGCCCTGCCCCTCCCCTCCCTCTTGGCATGGCTGCCCAAAAACTGGTGTCAAGCCTACACAACAAGGAAGAGACAGACAAAAGCACACAGAGGGTAAGCAGGTTCGACAAACAAAACAGGAGACAGACATTCCTTTCCCATATCTACCTTAACTACCTATACATACATGTGTAAATACACGTATATAAATCTATCTTAATACTATACTCTATCACACCATTTTACTGAGAAACATACACAATTTTTTCATATTTATATATATATCTCTATCTAGTAATACTTAACAGAAAGGGACTCTAAATTGTGGGACCCATGCTCACCTCGTCTCGAGCAAAAAACTTCTTCAACCTCGAGCCTGACACCCAATCTTTCTAGGCAGTCCCATTCAGCTCTTCAATCTGGTATGCCCCATGCTCTCCACTCCTCGCGACCCTGTATGGTCCTAACCACCTCTTGTCCAACTTTCGCGACCACTGCTTCTCTAAGGATGAATCATATAGCAGCACAACGTCGCCCACCTTGAGAGGCTCCTTCCTTACCCTTGCCATCTTATCCCATCTGAACTTATCCCTCTGTCGGCTGTCATCCACCTCACTCGCCGCACTTTCAATTCTGTCATCTATGGCATTAATCTGACGAGCCCTTAGTTCTAGCAGTTCCTCAAATGATGAGTTTGTCTCGAGGTCCTGCCGCCTCCAAGTCTTTAGGAAGCTTTCGATAGGGAAGGTCGCATGTCTGCCATACCACAACGTTGTTGGCGCGTAGTTGGTGCTCGTTCTGACAGTGATGTTATCCACGAAGAAGGCAACCCTTAGGAAGTTAGGCCACTGATTTGGCCTACCATTCGTCCGCTTAGCGAGGAGATTCGTAATCGTACTATGACCCGTCTCCACAGGTGCATTAGCTTGAGGGTGCCCCACAGTAGTATACTCTGCGATTACTCCATACCCTCTCAGCAGTTTTTTCACCTCAGCACAAGTGAATTCGGACCCTCTGTCCATTACGAATCTGGAGACAAAAGGATAGAGGAGGTAATACTCCTCAATGCATCGAGCCAAGGTCTCACCAGTTTTTGTGCGTATGGATCTGCCATCTACAAAACCGGAGAGGTTGTCTCGTGCATCAAAGATGAAGTTATACCCACCTACTCCCAGCGGCATTGCCAATAAGTCCAAATGCACGACCGCCCCAACCTCGCATACGTACCTTGGGTGAAGCGGCTCCCTAGGTCTAATGGAAGACCGCTCCTGGCATGGAACACATAACTTGCAATAATCGTTGATCATTCGTCCCATGCCATTCCAATAGTATAGCTCGTGTATTTTGAGGAAAGTTGTATCCTTACTCCTATGGCCACCTGCCTTACCATCATGTAGAGCAGCTATGACGTCGATCTGACGAGCGATGCCACAGACTACCCTTCTTGGAGTCTTCCCTTTACTCCTCATAAATAGATGGTCATCCCTTACCAAGAAGTTTGGTCGCATCTTGAGGACTTTCTCGCACGCATCTCTTTCTCTCATTTCGCACGAAAGGAGCATTCCTAATTCCAGATATATACCGTCATACTCCTCTGTGTGAAAAGCCTATTTTATCTCTCCCTCTTCAAAATCGTCGTCCTCTCCTTCGTGAACTACATTCTCATTCTCACCTTGCCGCTGATCCCCAATCCTTGCCACCTCGTCTTGAAGCAGAGCATTTGCCAAGAGGTATATCCCACCTATCGACCTCTCGTGCCCTTCTACCTGTTGCGCCCCATTTTCCATTGTGGGTAGGTCTTCGTGCAACTGGTATTTGTCTGCTAAGGCCAGATCCATCATCCACTGCACGTTTAGCATCCCCCACGAGTCCTCTTCGATGAAAGGCTTAAAGACTAGGTCTGGCCGTCGTACATATCCTGGAGGCGAGAGCCACACAGGTTGCCCAGGAGTAACGTAGTTACCTACGACCATCGACCAGGAGTTGATGTGAAGTCTCACATCCTCCTCAGTGTCCAGAAACCCGTCGACTGGCGGAGTATCCTCGATCACTCCTTGATTATTTTTGTCCCAGTCGACTCGACTCAATCCATCTGCTCTATTCTTATTTCCTGGAATTCGCTCTAATTCAAAATCGAACATCCAGATGTATGTTAACCACCTGGCGATAGTCGGGTCTGATGGAGCGAAATTCTTGAGAGAACCGGCTAAGAGCAGTTGAGTCCACCCTCAACACGAGCCTACTGCCGAAGAGGTAGTTTCAAATATCCTTAAGCAATGGAGAACCACCAAGGTTTTGCGCTTAAACTGAGAGTAATTTCTCTCAGTTGTTGTAAGCGTGCGACTTTCAAACCTTAGTGGCCGCTCCTCTCCGTTAAGGTCTTGCTGAATCAACACACCTCCTAGCGCAGTTGGCCCTGCATCAGTCTCTACAATAAAAGGTCTGGTCATTACCGCCGAGTGGTCCGGTACTCCCAGTACTAGACCCCCTTCTTCAAATTCTTTCTTTAGACCTTTTATTCCCAACTCCTGCTTATCTCCCCATTTCCAGTATTGTCCTTGGCGCACGAGCTTTCAAAGTTGCTCCGTCTTTGTCGCAAACCCTTTTATGAAGATCCTCCAGAACCCACATGTCCCGAGGAAACTTCTCACCTCCATAATAGTCTCGAATGGGGTTGGCCATTCGAGAATCTTATTGGTTTTCTTAGTGTCTGGTCGACGACCCCTCTCGTCGCACACAAACCCCAAGATGGTGGCCCCGCTCATGCAGTGCCTCGATTTAGACCCACTTGCAGTAAGGTTATGCTCCTTTAGCAAGTCTAGGACCCTGCACAAGTCTTGCACATGGTTCCAGACAAAGCATCTAATCCATGGCATTACCTCCTGCTCGTTCTTCTCTTTCGGCCCTTTTACGGTCAAATCATCAATGTAAGGCTGAGTAATGTGAGGGCTTACTGGCTGCATTGCCCTCACCATGTGCCTCTGGACCATGGCGACTGCATTTGTCCACCCCTGCGGTGCGACGTTCATATGAATTAACCCTCGAGGGGTATGCATTGCCGTCATCGGCTTGTCGGAGGGGTAAACAGGAAACTGCTCGTAACCAGAATATAAGTCTATGAGAGATATGATGGCTCTCCCAGCGCATGCCTCTGAAAGCGCATCTGCGTTAGGGAGACCACCTGCATCTCTCACAGTTACAGCATTCAGGCGCTGCAAATCCTGTACCTACCTCAAGGTCCCGTTTGGTTTAACGAAACAAAACCAAGGGGATGCATATGGCCCACTCGAGTAGTTTGATACGTGCGTACGAATTTTCCCATCAAGGTAGCTAATTACCTTTTCTTCATCAGCAGGATTAGGATACCGCGCACCCCGCAAGTTCCATGGCTCCTGGGAAACGGTATGTATCCTAATCATCGGGATTCTATCCACGTCCAGACGGCCCCGTTCATCATCATTGAAGGCATATTCCTCTTATGGTTTCCACCATAAGCTTATCCTCTTGCGCCGTAAGGAAGCGGGGCTCCCCTATAATCAGCGTCTTTTCTGTCTCAGGAGTGATACGACATGGCCCATTCTGTGCGTCCTCTCGCATCTGCCATATCAACTCTCGTTCCCGCTCGTAATAAACTTCTTGTTCCTCAGTCACGAGCACAGGAACAGGGCGACATTTTTTATCTACTCTTTTGTACCGCCTTTGTGACCCTTGCTTGAGCCCACCCCTAAAAAAGGCCGAGTTGCACTCAGGGGTTGGGCTCCTGCCGATCCTCCTCTCTTTCCGGGCGTCCGATATACCAGCTCCACCTCTCCTTCACCCATTTGTTCCATCACCTTTTCTCTCAAGGCCTCTACGGCCTCCATGTCCGCCATCCCATAGGTTGACACTATGTCCATAGCATCGCCTATATTGGTCAGGCTAAGAGTCAGTGCTTCCGGATTCCTTTCTTCTTCAAACTCATCTCCTCCTAGCCTCTTCCTTTCTTCTTTCGATTCCTCAATCGTGAAAGAGTCAGGATTGGGCCTATTCCTTATATTTCGTGGCCCCGTATTTTTGCATGTGATAACCTCATAGTTGCCACATACCGGGTCACATAAGACGAGGAACATTGTCTCATCATGCTTATTCAGTATAACGGTCTTCGTTCGGTTCAAAAAGGATCGGCCCAATAGGATGGGATGGTCGAGATCGGGCATCACAAAGAAACAACTTCTCACTTTAACCTTGCCAATCTTCAAAATCACTCTCGATGCGGTCCCTATGAACACAGACCGACTATTCGCTCCCATTAAAACTCCATTATCGGAGCGATCAATCTCCATCCCCAGGCGTAAAGCATGCTCCTCTTTTATGAGGTTCATTTCCGCCCCAGTATCCACCATTGCCGTGCACGTTTTTCCTTTTACTACTACGTCCAAGCATCCACAAGCGACGGACTTCCAATCCATCTTCGTGCCTGTCTCT